AAAAAAAAAAAAATTAAAGTGGGCCGGGGATTTAGCTCAGCGGTTCAGTGGCCTGCCTTGCAAGCACAAGGACCCAAGTTCAATCCCCGGTACCAAAAAAAAAAAAAAAAAAAAAAAAAAAAAAAAAAAAAAAAAAAAAAGAAAGGATATCAAGGAAAGAAAACATTGTGTGAAGAACTTTTTTTTCTCATTTTAGGAAATTTTTAAAAATTTTAAATTTCAAGTCAAATGCTCACTATGCCCACCTATTACAAAGCTGAGGAGCTATAAATAAATACAATTAGCATCTATATGTGATGTCACATGCCTATAATTCCAGCTCTTCGGGAGGCTGAGGCTGGAGAATCACAAGACTGAGCCAAACCTGGATACCTGGATAGCTCAGTGTTTATAATGATAGCCTCCCTCCCTCTCTCCCTCTCTCCCTCTCTCTCTCTCTCTCCAAAATTTGGAAACTTTTGTCCTTGACATTAAATACTATCATGCCCTCCAGCAGTCCTAGGAGACACTTACTCAATAGTACTAATCTAAATCAGGTTTTACTCTTGCCTTCCCTTCCACAACATGAAGGGATAAGTAAGCCTAAATTAGCCAAACCTCTACATTTTAAGTTTGTTTATGGAACAATAAGAAATAGAGCATTTTTAAGATTCTTTTTTACATTGGAAAAATTCCAATGCCTCTTCTGCAGTGTCCATGTAGAACTTGAATGCTTTACCAGTCAGCCTGTTGATTCACTCACTGGTTAGTCATGAGCAAGAGTCTTTGAAAGGCTCTGCACTTTCCCAGATAAAATTAGCCATCTATTATCTCTTCACTGATAAAATATTGTTTTCTGATCCTTCTGAACCCTGAAGAGAGTACTTGTTCAGCACCCACCAAAAAGGGGGCAAAGAAATATGTCATATTGACAACTTTTTAAAAATGAAGGATTGTTCAACATGACTGGAAATATGAGTCACTAAGACCGTGGTCTAAGTGACAAGTGTCTGCAGATTTCCAGACTGTGCCCATTTCCAGGTTTTTAAAAATAAAGGAGTCATTTTTGGCAGCAATATCACAGACAAGCAGGAATTTTCATCAAAGATGTGGATAAAAACACATAAGTACTTAGCATTATGTTCAACCACTAAAAAGGTGAGTCTTCAAGAAAGAAAAATAACTAAAGTACTGAGAATTTAATTAGATTTCAGGCATTTATACCTGTCTGTCTTGCACTGAATATTTTATTTTTTTATAAAATGCAATATTTTTAAAAATGTGATTCTGGTGCAAAGACCAGAGTTCAATCACCAGCACCAAAAATAATTATATAAATAAAATGCAATTCTGTATTAGGTTGAAAGTAAAATCAACAATAAAATGTACTTGGATTTTATTACTGAAAACGCAGCAACTGGAAAATAAAGCAATTAATACCATAAAGAGAAACCATTAGGGCAATGGCATGTGAGCTGAGCAAAACCAGACTCAAGACAGAAAAAAAAATATATGTAAAAATGTTCCTTACAATTCCAGTTCTCACATTAGTTATACTAAAGAATTTTTCAAGCATTAAATACCAGAATGAAAAAACAATTTTGTTTGTTCATGTTATGCTTTTGTATATTTTTGGTTAATCTATATGATCAGCACAGAATTCTAAGTTCACTTGGTAACAAAAACAGTAATCAGGTGGACTTAACACCTGTAATTCCAGTGCTCTGGAGCTGAGACAGGAGGATCACCAAGGGCTTGGGGCTAGCCTGAGCTACAAATGAGTTCAAGACCAGAATGAACTACATAGCAAGACCTTGTCTAAGACAAAACAAAAAATGAAAACAAACAAACACAAGTAATCAGTTGCTCCATGTAGGAGAAACACATGCTCATAATGTCAGAGTAAAAAGAGCACTCAAAAAGTCAAGGTATCTGAGTTCTACTTCTAACAAACCATTTATAACTTCTGTTCTTTCATCCACAAAAGGCCAAGAAGTGGGAAATAATCACTATGGTCTCTTGACAGTTTCTTAATACAGATAATTTGGATGAGGAAGATTATTAAAATATCCATTTACTATAATCAAGAAAATAAATATGTGGCTTTTATACCTATGGCACTTAAATCTAGGGGGATTGAGTAGACACAGAAACAAAAATAAAATACCTCTCCCAATTCTGACCAATCACAAGCTGGTCAGAAGGTTCTCTCACCAGCAGGGCATGGAATGACATCAACCAGAAGAAAGGAACTGAGGGTTAAACTTACACTTTGCAAAGAAAGCAAAATCACTAATAATCAGTATCAAAAATGTAACTGGTAATTGGGAGATATTCTACTTAAAAACTTGACTGAATTTCCAGCATTTTTTTAATCTGTCTTCTGCCCAGCATCTCTACCCTAGGCTACCAAAAACAGAAAAAAGAATAAAGGAACAACCAGAAGTATAATACATTTAGAATATTTTGAATCTGACATTGACATGTTTAAATTTCTATAGTCCATTGGTTGAGACAATGAAAATGTTCGTTCTGCTAATGAATCAACTTAAAGAGTTAATAAATCTCTACTTTTGACCACTTTCAAACTCTTAAAAAACACTCTTGTAAATTAGATTGAAGAGGAAATGACTTAACCCCCTAAGGAAACAAAGGCACAAAACCATTTAATAATTCCACTAGTTTTCTGGAAAAGCCATGACTTTAATCAAAATATAACATCATGACGCTACATTCAACCCAAGGCTCTAGGCACTGCTCCTCTTGGATGAAGAGATTAAACAAATGAAAGCAGTGTTAATCATCCATTCAAGAAAATTCCAAAAATACAAGTTCCATAATACCTATTTACAGCCAAAGGCCCTTTCTTAGTAAATATCATTAATAGGCTCATCTAGAGTCATAATTCATCTGATGAGCCAGTTAATTATTAATTTTCATACATCATTTCATTTCCTTAGGCTACATTTAGCCTTTGTTATATTTTCCACTCCTTATGCCACAAGTATTTCTTCCTCTTCACAGAAAACCTGATAATGAGGCACAAAACACTGGTCAGCAAACTGCCCCAGGTATACGTATTCGTATGTGTACCGTGCATCTAAATTGAGTTCTTAGTGGTTCTTTCCATTTTTCCCTTTGGGTTAATGACTGTGTAATTTCATTAACACTGCCTTTTCAATTCCTCTGCCTTGACCGTTAAGAGGTCCGTGCTATTCCTACTGGCTTCTCTTGTTACAGCTTTTGTAGCTAGAATAATATAGAAATGAAAAGCCTACTGATGGGTGATATAAGTTATTCTCATGCACGGCTGCAGTGGGAAGCACATTCTGCATTCAATCAAGAACAGATAGAGCTGAATGTTCTTAGATCCCAAGAGTTCATTTTAATAAGCAGAATGTACCTTGTCCTAACACAGGTGACTGACTCCTCAGAAAGATTGTATAAACAAAAACCAATCATGTAAGTCATTTTATTGGCAACAATATAAACACAGCTATATTAGATGTCACCAATAAATCAAAATTATTCTTGTCTGCAATTTTAACAAGAGGAAAGTGCAAACATGTGCCAGTGAAGGTGGAGGATATTATGGAGGAAATGTATTGGATGTGTATAATATTTCTCTAAATTGAAACTGGAGGGTCCTATATTATGAAAAAGCAGACCACAGCAAGG